AAAGGAAACAAAAATATAGGTTAAGAATCAAATATATTACTTGAATTACGTGTAATTTGAATTGGAATAATTCCAGTAATTCAAAGGAGGAATTGTAAATACTTTCTACAATTATGATAATTGTAAAAGAAGACGTCATTAATTAAACATTAAATTAATTACTGCCCAACTCTGAACTGGAACTCTTGAATTGAGATGGGTGATTGACGATATATTGATCGTTATCGATAATAAACTATCGATATATCGATAGTTTAAAACTTGTATTTCTCTCTAATATTGGTTTATTATTTTCAATAATGAACCATTGTTATAAACCGAAAAATTCAAAAACTTAACCCTCTCTCAAAATTTGAGGTTTCACGTTTCAGGATACGTAGAATTCGAAAAACGAATAAAAAATTTTCTGTCCGTCCGCTGTCCGCTGATTTTCTCGGACACTACTGGATCGACTTTTTTCAAATTTGGATATAAACTCAGAGGTCACCCGAGGATGATCCTCCATCATCGACATTACTACCTGCCTTTCATTTTTAAAATGGCGGCCGAAAAACCTGCGTTGCTACAAACTGTAACGCCTAAACAAATGTACCGATTTCAATGAAACTTCGCTAAAGTCATTTTCTCGACTGCCTTTAAATGTATCTATATAACATACTTCAACGAAAAGAAGCTGGAAATAAAGTTACGAGGGATGGTAAAATTAAATTTCGAATAACTCAAAAAGTTCACACTTTTTCGGGGATATTGTACAGTTTACGGAGTTTCCTTAAAAACAAAAAAAAAATCGTTACAATCGGACAATTAGGAGCAAAGATATGGTCCTTACTTTTTTTTTTTATATATCCTACTCCAAATGTTAAAAATATTAAAAATAATGCTATTTTTTTTTAGCATATTACTAATGATTAAAAAAAAAAGTTTAGTCCAATAATTGGAATCATCTTTTATTTATTTTTATTTTTAACTAGGAAAGTAATGTTACTTTAGATGTATAATTGTTTGGAAATAATAAACCATTGTGAAATAATTTGCAGCATTTTTTTCTTTAGTTTCCTCGTATAAGTTTTTATGGGCTCTAAGATTTTATAGGAAGGCCTAAACCATACCACCCTTGTTTTCATAAAGCATTAGTGTTTATTCATTAAAATGTCTTTTTCTTAGGTTACTTACTAAATTGAAAAGAAAATACTTTAGTCCTCGATTTTATGAATGAAAGGCGATGAAATAAAATGAATGAAAACGCTATTCAAGGCTATTCTTGCAGGAAATAGCCTTGGATGTTTTCTTCCAGCCTAATGTTTAATGTTTTCTGAGAATCTTATTAACTTGTTGACTTCCTTCACGTTGCAAATAAAATAAGTGTTGCAAATAAAAAGTTTAGCAAATAGTTCATGGTTTGAAAATTATTCCTAACCAAATTTTACCCAAAAAAGTTAGTTAAAGAGAACTATTCCCAATTAAATTTTACGCTGTAAGTTAGATAAAGAGAAAACAACATTATTTCTGACAAGTTTCTTAAAAGATAAGTTGAATACCATTTTGCAGGAAAGAAACGACGACTGTCTACTCAATCTGCACGGATTTCCTAAAAACAAATTAGAACCAATAATACAAATAAGAAGCAAAAACAATAATAATATGTAACCAAGATTAAGAAAGCGTTGGAAAACATAGAACCCTTTTCTCTTTTGTTTCCTGTGACTAATAATTAATTTTTACTTTCACTTATCTATATATGTATTATATAGTAAGGTAAAGTATTGAGATCGTGAAAATTTTCGAATTTCAGTTTTAAACGGAAATACACGTTTTGGGGTACCCTGAGTCGAAATAACCAAGTCCCGAAAAAATGGTCTATGTGTCTGTGTCTGTATTTTAGCAGTCTAGCTCAAAAACGAAAAGTAGTACGAAACTGATATTACCTATTTAAGATAGGTATATGCCTTAGATGTGACAGCAACTTTTTCCTTAAAATCAGCTAACCGAGAGTGCCACTTCATATTAACGGTAAAATACATTTTTACAATTTTCTCAAAAACGGCTCTAACGATTTTGATTAAACTCGGTGTATCACTGTATAATCAAGTTTCTTTAATATCATTTATGTCTTATTACCTTGATGTCACTTTACAGGGCTTAAATGCCCACTGTTCATATACGTATTCCTCTAAAGTACCTTTAATATGGTTTATTTTAAATAAATAACAATCTCACATTATTAAGAGTTACGAAAAAAATGTTAAATATAACTTTTGAAAGAATTTGATAATTGAATAAATGAGAAAAAGTAAAAAATGCTTATACAGTTCGAAAATGAATCTCCGGAAATACTAGTCAGAAGGTATACTTATAATATATCGTTGGAAAGCGGAGAATTTTAGAAAAAACAATATCTAATACAAAAAGTTGTAGAAGGTAACGGAGAGTGGCGAAAAAAAATTTAATTAATAATTTTTGAAAACTGATAATATTTACCGTAAATCACATGTTTTCAAGGAAATTCATGAAATTTACTAACTGTAAATTTTAAAAAATTTTTAAGTTTGAAAAAGTATTTAAAATCCACCTAATCAAGGCAATTACATTATTTAAAGTGATATTTCATTGTATTTGTATGAAAGAAGAAGTGATATATAAAATCATTTCATGGATGTATAAAGCATATGTTTATAACTAGAGACCGAATTTTCGTGCAGTAAAAATTCGGAAAACCTGCAGTAAAAAACTCAAAATGTGCAAAATCGTGTAGTGAAAATCCAAAATACGTAAAATTGTGTAATTAACATATAAAAACGTGTAAAATCATCAATATTATTTAATTTATAATATTAAACCCTCCATAATGACCTTCATATCCCATTTGTTATTGACTTAATTCCAGAAAATTTTTCCAAATTTCACCAGAAACTCATTCATCATCCAAATCCTGTAGCACAATCACTATCCAGCTCCAGCCATCCCTACAATCCTCCCCGGAGGTTAAAACGGCAGTGGCCCCGCGAACTTTTGTAAATATGTACATATTGGAGTACTGGCAATGGCCAGATTCTCCACTCAAGCCACATGAGCGTCTGTTGCTAGTGCCCTCCATCAGTTTCCACTGGTTTTAAATAACAGTGTCGCGGTTGAGAGAGAAGCACTGGGATCTCCTGGAGTCCTGCCTTGGCTTCCACGTTGCATGACTCAGAGTCCCCTGGATGAATGTAAATATTGTACATAGGTGTGAATGTGATTTATTTACTTTAATTTCATCTAGCTTTTATCTATTATTTCATTATTTTTTTTGTACACAGGCATACCAATTTACTTATTTTATTTTATTTTTTATATTTCTTTTTCTTTATTATTGATATTAATTGTATGTACATATTGTGTTAATGAATCATGTAGCCTTAATATTAATGCCCTTCAATGTGGCAGAATGTATTAATATTCAATAAAGAACGTTAAAAAAAAAAAAAAATTATAACATTAATACACCGAAATCTTATCAGATCTTAAGTTAACCGATTTTTTTTAGAAAAAAAAAATTGAAATGCTACATTGAAAATGAAATTCCAGATTATAGTCAACTATTATAATAACGATTATTATAAAACAATGCAGAACATGAAGGTTAGAATGAATAAAGGAAGGGAGGAATTATAGGCACCTATATATTATAGAGACCAGACCAATTTTAGATATTTAACTTTTATTAAAAATAACTAAAAAATGAAAATTTAATTTTTTAATAGAGTTGAAATTTCCAATATTATACATTCCAAATGCTTTTGTTAAAATTTAAAGAATTAAAAAAAAATGATATAGACTGTAAAAAATTGTAATATTTGAGATTTTCGAGTGTTCAAATATTAGTGTTGAAGCTGTTTTTCTATATAACTAAAAAAAAATATTTTTAAGGATTACGTTCTCAAACTCCTAAAAAAACCAAACATTTAATTGTTCCATAGAAATATTTTTTTCTTACATGTTCCACAATAAGCGGCGATCAGTGATTTCCTATCACCTGGTTGATTTTTCATAAGGTGTATAGAACTTTCTCATCAAATTCTCTGTCTAGATTTTACGTCAACGAGAGACTAGATTTTACTTTCAGCATTATCCTTTTTTTTTTATTAATGAAATTTCTACAAATCCATTTAAAAGCCAGAAGAGATACTCAACGGTTGAACGGTGAATGAGGATTCAAATCAAAACAATAACTATAAATGCCTTACAAACAAAGCGGCTAATTTTAGGAAAGCAGCTTTTTATTATCCAATAATTTAGGCAAGTTCTATTCCAAGAATAGATCTCACTTGTTTTTACTTCTTCCTTTTGTAATGAATACGATTTTTTATTCACACGGAATTATCTACCTTCCTCATATTTTTCTATTTTGAATAATGAATTTAATTTGAACAATATAGTAAAATAAATATTAACACACTCACTTATACTTGTATTAATAAATCGTCTAATTTAGCACAAATGTGCAATTTAATTCAACAAAAATCAAAATCGTTCAATTTAAGCCAAAAACGGCAAACGTGCAATATAAAATTTAAATATGTTGTTCTACAGATCTTGAAACGGATAAATATTTGGGTCCGGAGTTTTTACACGCAACCGAATAAAAAGTGCAATAACATGGAAATCCGGTCGGAAATTTATAATCTTAAATACATTTACTGTACTTTAATAATTCTAGATCTGATATATTTTTTTTTGGGTCTCTAAATTATTACTGTTTAGAAGAGGCCGAATTGACGGTGAACGGATAAAGCGTACGCGTAGAGTATCTTCTTGTCTTTACCCGTCGCTAAAGAATTTGCTGGTAAATTATCATGATGTATACAACGTGAATATACCACACAGGTTATCTTTCCTTGTTCCAAATCGTCCATATTATGACCTCAATACGTTTCGTGCCATCGTTTTAACACGCCGCCATCGCCACGTTCGCCATCGCCACGTGCCATCGTTTTAAGCCGGCCTGAGATGTACGCTAAACGATGATGTGTTTGTAGACTTATTACACCTGCTGTGCTAAAATTAAACATTCACTGAAGTTTTAAGAACTGCTAAAAATTGGTCATAAATACATGAGGTTACTGGGAAAGAACAAAAGAAAAGCCCCCCCTCTCACCCTCTCCTTTGTTTTGAATCAACATCAACCTGAACAGCTCTATTCCTGAGGTCTTTCGACTTAACTTTCCTTTAAGTTGGTAGAAAATATTTTAAAACCAAAATTAAAAATCTGGTGCGCGCAATACACATCTTTCACTTACCGATCTACTTTGAATAAAAATTATAATCTGGCAATGCTGGGCTATTATAAAATTGTTTGAAGTGCATTTTAAACGGAGCTAAAGCTTAAAGCTTACAGACAACAAGTCATTAAGACCATTATTATTACAAAATGTCTATTTAATATATTGACGACAGGCAATAAAAATCTAGTCACCCCTTTTGCTTTTATAAACCACACAACTTTCGTTGCATTTACAAACCACATAATGACTAACTCCAATTTCAACATTTTTGAGTGATGTCATTTTAGTGATATTTTTAGTTGAAAAAGTTATCTATGCAGACAATGAGTAAGTTGATTCCAGAGGTGGTGATTGCAGTGTTGAAATATAGAACTGAGAATAAAGGTATACATTTAGGTACTTATTTCTTATGAAAGATGTTCTTAGGAAAGATACTTTATTCAATATCTGTAGAAAAAATGTTTTTTTAGTCTCAACAATTAAAGTATATTTCAAATTTATCCAAATGTTCGCCTCTTCAGGGAGACAAAACTAGAGACCATATCTTTCCTCCTTATCCGATTTTAACGATTTTTTTTGTTTTGTTTTTTGAGGGAATTCCATAAAAGTTTAAAAACTAAACGATATCCACGAAAAAGTGTAAACTTTTTGAGTTATTCGGAATTTAATTTTACCATCCCTCGTAACTTTTTTTCCAGCTTCTTTTCGTTGAAGTATGTTATATAGATAAATTTCAAAGGTGTCGAGAAAATGACTTTAGCGAAGTTTCATTGAAATCGGTACTTTCGTTTAGGCACTACAGTCTTTAGCAACGCAGGTTTTTCTGCATTTTTATTTATTTTTCTCCTTTATTAATTTATCGAATTCTTTCAAAAGTTATATGTAGCATTTTTTCGTAACTCTGAATAATCCGAAATGGTTAACTTTTTAAAATAAACCATTATAAAGGTACTTTAGAGGAAGGCATATATGAACATTGGCCATTTAAGCCCTGTAAAGTGACATCAACGGGGATAAGACCTAAATGATATTAAAGACCACTTAATTATACAATGATGCGTTAGAGCCGTTTTTCAGAAAATTGTAAAAATGTGTTTCAGCGTTCATATAAAGTGACACTTTCGGTTAGCCGATTTTAACGAAAAAGTTGCTGTCACATCCGGCCCATGTACAAACCTTAAATACTTGATATCAGTTTCGTACGACTTTTCGTTTATGAGTTAGACTGTTAACACACACACACACACGCACGCACGCACGCACGCACGCACGCACGCACGCACGCACGCACGCACGCACGCACGCACGCACGCACGCACGCACGCACGCACGCACGCACGCACGCACGCACGCACGCACGCACGCACGCACGCACGCACGCACGCACGCACGCACGCACACACAGACACAGACACAGACACAGATACACACACGGACCATTTTGCGATACTTGGTTATTTGAACTCATGGGACCTCAAAACATGAATTTCCGTTGAAAACTAAAATTTTCACGATCGCAATATTTACCCTTACTATATATTACATATATACGTAAGTGAAAATAAAAATATTGTTTATTTATTATTACATTAATATTTTTTTTCTGCTTTTGTCAATCTTACTTCAAAATATTTTTCTTTTTAGATTTATCAAGTGTGTTTTGCTACGCGAGAGAAAAACATCCTGTGCTTGGGTAAGTCCTTAGTTTATTTTGGGTCAATGACATTATCATTATTGCTTTATAAATATTGGTAAAAAAAAAATTGTGTGTTTATATATACTAGTGTTCGTCCAGTGGTCGAAATTCGACCATAGACATTAAAATTTTGAGGAGAACAATTAAATTCAATAAATAAAGAGTAAATTAAGATTTCAAAATCCTCATTTATTTATATAAACAAAATTTCAATTTCAATTAAAAATCGTGCTTAAACTACCCAAAATTATTTATAAGTAATACAAAATAGACTCATTCAAAATATTTAACTTCCATTTTAATTTATGTGTGTTATTATCACAATAAATTAGTGTTATGGCTAAGGAAGTAAAAAATAAATTTAAATTAGCAATTTCAACTGACTTTAAATTCATTTTATGCAGAACTTTCCTGAAAACAATGTTCTTTTTTAATGATCTGTTATTGTTTAGTGCATAGCCTTAACCATTGCCATTGGAATTATAAATTTCAAAATTTTACTTTTAATGTTAACGTGCCCTACTTACTGCTACATATAATTGTCCATGCGAAATTACTGAACGTCGCAATAATCCACAAATTTTTCCAAAGGTTTGACCCTGCGATTTGATTATGGTCATAGCAAATGCAGCTATTATTAAGAACATTGTTCTTTGAAATTCGAATGGAAGTATTGTGTCAGAAAATATTAAATTAATTCTTGGGATTAAAACTCTTTTATTTAAAATAGCTCTCGTCAGTACTTCACTCTGGTTCGTGTTCCATTAACTACTGCTTGTGCAGTATTTAAGTTAAGAATGAGTATAACTATAGAATTTATTTTTATATTTAATTTATGAAGTAACATTCCATGATATCTCCTCTTCAAATAATAGGCCCGATCACTTCATTAAATTTAAAGTTTTCGATTTATCAAAAACCAAAATAGAAGAAATCGACTTTACAAAAGAAAAAGTACTAAATGTTTGAAATGATATATCTCTGCAATAAATAGTCCAATTTCGATGTTTTTTATTTTTATTTTGTAGGGAATTCAGGAAGCTTTCAAATAAATATTGGTATTATCTATAAAAAAAAATGTGTACTTTTTGAGTTATTCACAAATAAAATAGTGAATTCATCATAAAAATGTATGCAGCTTGTTTTCGGGAAAGTATGTTATATACATAAATTATAAATGTTTCAAGGGGAAGACTTTAGCCAAGTTTCATTGAGATCGTTAAAGCCGTGTTGGCGCTACGGTCTAAAGCGAATCACGTTTTTCGGCCGCCATTTCGAAAGGAAAGGCCTCATGATAATGAAACGTATACAAAAACACTTCTAAATATTATTGAGATGTTGTGTCAAAATTTAAAAGAAATCTGTTAAGAACTTTCGGAGATAAGCCGTTTTGAACAAACTACCTTTTATATTTTTATTCACATACTATTTAATATTTTTATTTATTGATAACACTAAAGCTCGTCCAATATCTATTAAACAAAAAAATAAGGAAGAAAATTGGTTGAATAATAGAGGAGTAAAAGGGGCTGAACCGATTTGTGTTTGCCTATTTATATAATTTTATATATATATATATATATATATATATATATATATATATATATATATATATCTACAGTCGCAATCTAAAATCCAATATTATTTTTATAAAAAGCTCCCCCCAAAACATGATATTCGACCCTCATATCGATTTAACCAAAAAAGTTACAAATAGTCGGTGCACGGGGCGCTATCTCAAATCCGACAGTATTTTCATAAAAAGGGCCCCCCCAAAACATAATAGTCGACCCTCATATCAATTAAATCTGAAAAGTTACAAAAAGTCGGTTCGGGAGTGGGGGAGGGGCGCTATCTCAAATCCGACAGTATTTACATAAAAAGGGCCCCCCAAAATATAATAGTTGACCCGCATATCAATTAAATCCGAAAAATTACAAAAAGTTGGTGCCCGTGGCGCTATCGCAAATTCAACAGTATTTTCATAAAAAGCGCCCCCAAAACTCTGATATGGAAGAAATCCTTAAAACTCAAAATTGCCGCAATGCAGTGGCGTAATCTTAAAATGGAGATTATTTTAAAAAAACTATGGATCTGAAAATATACACATTGGCCCGTATATAGAAGAAAAATAAAATTAGCGTCAAATTATTCCAAATTTATTTTAATAAACTCGAATTACCAATAAAAAGATAACAGATAACTTGCATTTATTTATTATCTAGATAAAAGATAAACAGAATTATTCGTTATTTGTAGTTGAGAAGTTCGAATAAACTATTCGTTATCTATTATCTTTTATTTAAGATATATTTTGTCCAACACTGGTCTGTGGCAGCTACTCCAAGCTTAGCAGCACACAGGAGATAGTGAGAAAAGTTGAAGAGAAAATTATAATAATTAGAGACCGGATTTTCGTGTAGTAAAAAACCGAAAAACGTGCAATATAAAACTCAAAAACTGTAAAATGGTATACGTAACATGTAAAAATCATAGTTTTTGTTTAATTAATAATATTAATATTAAAGGTTGTATTCTATAAATTGAAGTTAGATATAACGCATAGTAATGTAAGAAAAATTTAATTCTAATTTAAAATTAACCTAGATTAACCTGATTCTGTATGAAACAAAAATATCTTACAAAATATTTATCTCCTATTCTTAATAAACGGTGTATTTTTGAATTGAGTCTTGGTTTTACTGCTGTAGATCAATTTAATTTTTTCCTGCCCACTAGCGGATCCAGGATTTAATTTTTGGGGGGGCTTTAGCCCGAAGGATTTTTTTTTCATATATATAACGATAATTAATTTGAAAAAAAAAAAGAAAGAAACTAACTACCCTATATGACATGGTGTCTTAGTGATTCTTGAAGTCATATTAAATGTAATTAAACTAACAATAATAGTTTAAGGGATAGTTTTTAATATTTTTTTCTATAAAACATGGTTATACCAACCATTTTGGGGGGGGGGAGGGGGCTTCAGATCGAAAGTTCCCCCGTAGAGCCTCCTGTGTTCCTGCCTAATTCCTACGTATACTAGGTAAGAAAAGTATTGCGATCGGGTCAAATTTCCGACGTGCAGTTTTCGACAGATCTATATGTTTCAGAGCCCTCCCCCTTTAGCCTGTTTTTTTTTCTTTAGTTCTTTTAATGGTAATAAAATTCCCTACAAAACTATATAAAAATCGTTCATTTCAGACAACTATTAAATTTGCAATATAAGATTACGGGTTTATATCCTGGTGTCAGAAAGGGGCGAATGAGAGAGAGAAAAAAGATAACTAAGTGAAAATAAGAAAATATATTGACCGCATCACACAAGCTTCACCATGTTCTTCACTTTTAACAGTAATTATTGTTTGACAAAATTCGGCTATGGTAAAAAGTTATTTACCAGCAATAATAGATGGTATTGAAATATTTACACTGATCTACCTTAAGCTGTTTTACATTGCTTTAGTTTATCTAATAAACCGTACTCGAATCTTTTCTTTGATCAATTTTCATGAAAATTAATGTAATTCAATATTTTTTTGTTTCTTAATGGACATATGTAAAGATATAAAGATAAAAACTTTTCTGTAACAGGTAGAAAGGTCGTGTGAGTGGACACACCAGATTTTTTTAGTTAGTAAATAAGTGCTTGATTTTGAATTTTTAAAAATTAATGTGTTTTTTTTTCAGAGGAGGTTGTCCTTTGCCTCAAAAACCTAATAATGGAGACTTCGAAGTGTCCGAATGTATTGATGGAGACTTCAGCTCTAAATGTCGAAAGGTGCCAGGAACTATTGTCAGCCAATCTGTTATCTTACAATATCAGTGTAATCCTGGCTTTGAATTACCAGATAACATCAAATATTCAATATGTTACAATGGTGTCTGGGATCCTGAGCCTTCAGATTGTCTGAGTTGGTTATTTTTTTTTGTTATTTTTTATTTATACTTTTTTTAAACCTATTATTTGCACATTATTATTTGCATAATAAGAGAAAGGTAGTAATGCCAAAAATCGGTCTTGTTCTTGGTCGTGCAAGTTTGCCTGATTGTAGTAGAACAAAGATTGACTTGGGAGATCTGCTTCTCCCAGAGATCTCAGTAAAAAACACAGCTACATTAATACTTTGGATGTACTTTTTTTTTTTTTAGAAATAAAAAATGTCTTTATACATTTATATTTATTGAAGCAAATGGTGGTTGGGGTGATCAGTCAAAATAAATAATAGTATTTATTTTCACATTCGTCGACTATTTTTTTTTTTCATAAACATAACCATAATTAATTTGGAAAAAAAAGAAACTATCTACCTATATGAAATGGTGTTTAAGTGATTCCTAAAGTGCTTTTAAACGTAATTATACCAACAATAATGCTTTAAGAGATAATTTTTTAACATTTTTTAAAAATAAAACATGGTTATATTTTACCATTTTGGAGGAGGGCTTTAGCCCCAAGGCTCCTCTCCCCCCCCCCTTCTTCTGAAGACTGCAATTCAAACAATGTAATAACATCCTAAATTTGAGGAAAATATCACTAACTCACAGCTTAGACAGGAACAAAAAATAAACAACGGAATAACTTAGGTTAGACAAGATAAAAAGGGAGGTTTCGACCCGACCGGCTAATTAACAAGTACCACTAGTGGATCCAGGATTTAATTTTGGGGGGGGGCTTCAGCCCGAAAGCTTTTTTTTCATAAAAATTACGATAATTAATTTGGAAAAAAAGAAAGAAACTAACTACCTGTATGAAATGGTGTTTAAGTGATTCCTAAAGCCCTTTTAATATTAATCACACGAACAATAATACTTTAAGAGTTACTTTTTTAATATTTTGTTCGATAAAACATGGTTATATTTTTCTATTTTGGGGGGGGGGAGGCTTCAGCCCGAAAGCCCCCCCCCGTAAATCCGCCCGTGACAAGTACCAAAAAAAAAAAAAAAAAAAATACACCATTTATTAAGAACATATTATTATGTTTTGTAATATATTTCTCTTTCATACAGAATCAAGTTAATCGTCGTTCATTTTAAATTCTGTTTAATTTAAACAGATACAGAAACCTATTTCATTAAACAGCTTCCTGCAATAGTACAGAAACCACTCTCTTAAACAGATACAGCCCTTTGAAACAGATATAGCTCTACTGTATTTTGAATTGTTTTGATAGTTTCAATGAAACACCGACCATTACACTATTGCAACTTTTAAAAGTGATATGCAGTTTCTGATCAATGAACAGTTTTATGAACTCTTTTTCCTATCTAATTACTGTCTTAGCGTTATTTTCGTCAATATATTTACTTATTATCTTTAAAATGTGTTATGATACGGTATTAATGTAACAATTAAATCGATAATTACTTTGAAGATAAAAATTATTAAATTCATATCTTTCAAAACAGGTTTAAGGTAACAGAAGGCAAGGTTTTTTTTTTTTCCTACTCATAAAGTTTTGAAACAGTCATATCTGTTTTTTAAAGTGTTTTTTGAAAGTAGCAGAAATTGTATCTCATGATACAACAGTTTTCTTCATCACTACTAACAACACCACCCACCTACTCATCATTAGTCAACTATACATTTGTCATTAATACATTTTATTCAATTTTTTAGAAGTGTGTAAAGGATTATCTTCAAATTCATTGGATTTACAATGTTTCTACAATGGGAAAGAAGTAGACTGCGGAAAGCCCATGATACAAGGAACCAAAGTTAGAACTGCTTGTAAAGACACTTATGATATTCGAGACGCTTCAGCTTCTTTCATTACAACGGAATGTACGTCTGACGGGACATGGGCTAAAGAACTTTACAAGTGTGAACCAGGTAATCTCTCATCATCTGTATATAGAATAGATTTATGTTTTATACCTAAATATGCTGTTACAAAAAAACTGTTACACTTCGATTTTTGAAGTGAAAACTTCTTTAGGCGTGGTCTTGTTGCCCAATATGGGGCCCCTTTCGTCTAAGTATATGGCAGCCTTTATTTAATTCTTTAAATTTTAGTTATGAGATTTTTCCACCTTTGACTGCTGTGCACTGTTTAAACTAGGCTTTCTGTTTTGTTCAGCCCTAATGAACTCTTCTTTTTCCTAGGAATTAAGTATTTTATTTCTTTCATTACTTAATGTGTTATTTTATTGCCTCTTAGGTTGCGGAAAAAGGAATTTAGTTAACACTATATCCACGCTTAAAGGAGATCAATTTCTTGACCAATATGAATTCCCATGGCATGCTGAAATATATGTAAATGATGGTTCAGATTTTGTTTCCTGGTGTGGTGGAACAATTATTCATCAGAAAGCCATTTTGACAGGTTTGTATTTTAAATTCTTTAAAGTTTGATATGGTTCTACATTTATAATAAGTCTTCAGGGTTTTGTTCATTAAATTTGTATATGCTCGTTGTGATTTAATCAATTATTTAAAAATAATAATTGAATAATATTCATTATCTGAATGAATTACTAATTTTATTTCACTGTTTTAATTCTCTTGTATTAAATAATATTTCAGATTCTTAATTTTCATTTTCTTAATATACTGTTGTGTTTCTGGTTCGATCTCTAACTAGAGTGGAGTGAGGGTTCAAGAACTCAGCCCCAATCCTCATCTCCTTGCTCATGTTTGTGAAACATATCAGAAGTATGAAAATATTCCAATACTTATTTTTTTAGAATAAAAACAATTTCTTTAAAAAAAGGGGAGAGAACAATTCTTTAAATAAAACATGAAAGAATAACAACAAATGTTTTGAAGAACAATTATTTTAATATTTGTAGATAGATAAAAATTAAATCAGTATCAATTAAAACCCGAGGGTCCAATGATATTCTTGAAGCTTAAAATAGTTCTTCATTAGTCGCCTTCATTGATAGATGATTGGTTCTCCCTGTGTTTTATGATCTTTTTTTAGACTTTTCTGATCATCAAAGAGCAAAGATTATTTATTGAAAAAGAGCAGCTTGAATTAAACCTTGTGTACCCTTGAAATTAAGTAATATCACACATACAATTAATTGAATAGCGATATTGAGGTCAACTTTTACCATATCTATCAACCGAACTGCAGGTTTTTCTCCCATAACTACTGGTTCTGGTAAGAATGTGGGGATCAAGTCCAGGAATTGGGTCTGTGGTTCTTTTTTGTCTATCCAAAGTAACCAATGAATAAACCTTTTATTAATCCCTTTCAAATCTTACGGACTTTCCAATGGAAGTCAGAAAGGACAGTCATTCAATGAAAGAAGCCTTTTGATTCAGCCTGAACTCAGTAAACTGTACCTGAGAGATGGAAATCGGTCACAATCTGCTATATAGTATAGTCTCCGATACTTGTTGATATTGATAGCAAGTTTCTCCACTCCATAGATCTTCAGAACCTGCAATGACTCATGAGCAGATATGGGAAAAAGCTACTCTGAGTACCGAGTACCAAGTATTTTACTCAAATTGAATCGCTATTGGGAATTCAATCACTGCTTCAGTTAATCGTTTGACATCAACTGAAGTAATAATTAAATTCTTTGATACTCAAAACTGACCTTTTTTGAGTCAAATCCATAATCATTTATAGGTTAAATATTCAGATACTCAGATACTTTCAAACCTCTCTAGGTATATATGAATCTTCCGGTTGCCAGAATGATTAACCCCAATTTCAACATTTTTTATTATTAATTTTAGTGTCGTTTCTAGTGGGAAAATTTATAGCTTTATTCACAGTTGGATATTTCAACACTGCAATCACCTACTCTGGAATAAACTTACTCATTGTCTGTATAGATAACTTTTTCAATTAGAAATATCACTAGAATGACATTACAGAAAAATGTTGAAATTGGTGTTAGTCATTCTGTCAACTGAAAGGCTCAGAAAATGAAATTGTGTGGTTTATAAAAGCAGCTGGAGCAACTACAGTTTTATTGCCTACCGTTGATATAATAAACAGATTTTTTGTAATTTTAATGGTCTTAATGATTTGTTATCTGTAAGCTTTAAGCTTTAGCACGGTACTTTTAATTACTCCTTTTTTTCTGCTTTCAGCTGCTCTTTGTGTATACAATGGTCATGAAAAAAGGGTAGTTAATGAAAGTATATTTCGAGTTGCTGTTGGAAAATACACAAGTAATTGGAATACCGCAGAGACTACTGAGCAAAAATTTAGGGTATTTCTTACTTCTTCAAGTGACATTCTGTTGTGTTTATTGTTTGTAACGATAATTGGTTGAATTGAATTTTAGGTGGTACAAATAATTATTCCAGATAAATATAATGGACGCCATAACAAAAATGAGGACGATATAGCTATACTTGTTCTGGATCGATTTATCACTCATTCCATGCCAATTTGTTTTGACAGAGATGAACATTTACATTTATATACAGGAGCTAGATCAGGTGGCTCTGTAAGTTATCTTTTTTACTTTTTAGAAAAAAAATAATAGATACATTGTTTATCTTTTTTATAGTATTTGTTTTTATCCTCCTCCTTTTTCTTGAATTGGTTCCTGAGAGAAAATATCCTGTACTAAGTTGCTGCCAAAATATTTCCAGAGAGCTAATCCGGTTTTTGTGGTCTCCTCACTCTTATCTCAATATCCTATCCCAGTGGTCGGCAAACTTATTAGCCAAAGAGCGAAATATGAACATTACAATTTTTAAAAAAATTGAGAGCCAAATCTGCTTGTTTAGTAAACTTTTATTACAATAAATTTTATTACACTAAATAAGAAGTACACTAAATTTCATACTTAATAAATATTTATTAATGCGAACGATGTGCTTGCATCTCCTTGGAAAGTTTGAGTAAGTCAGGTTTGTATGTTGTTTTTAATTTTAGGCATGATTCCAAGTTCTCATCAATAGAACGACTTCTCAGTAAACTCTTGATAATGTTCGTGCTTGAAAAAGGTTGTTTAGATATATATGTATGACTGAAAAGGAAAAAATATTCTATCCCAATAATATTCCTTCTCATTCCCTCACACATCACACAAAGGAAAAAATACTGGGGGCTGTCTACTACTAGCTAGATGAAGGGTGAATCTATAAATCTTTTTGGAGAGGAAAGGAGAAGGATGACAGTCAATGAGAAAATTCTGTATTAAAGCATTACATTAAATTTTAAAACATTTTATGAAATAAGAAATTCTTAATGAATATAATCTCTTTAAAAGAACTAAATTACAGTATCCTAAGGATAGTGAATTATCTCACATGAAGACATTTGACATTTTCACAATAATATATGATAAGAAATGAAGATAGAATGAAACAATAACAATGTCGGTGCCTTGGTAGATTTCAAACTACCAGTGTTTAATACCATAGCACTAACAGACTGGAAAACGACACCTGTTATAGAACTATTCTATAAAGGTACATAGTTTAAGATGAAAAACTAAAAACTCTTGCAATGAAAACTTCTACATTCAAAATACTTACACTCAGATGTTTTTTGAACTCATAATCCTCACATATATTATTACAGTAAGGCTCGAAATCGGTTTCATACCAAATATAAGCTTCTGTCATGTTCAAATACCATGAATGGGGTACCGTTGGATTCAGAATTTCACGGGAGGAAGAGGTAGAGAGGTTAGCGAATCGTGTTCTCCACTTATGTTTTTCTTTCTAAAATAAATAAAGTCGATACAAACATTTTGCTAGGCTTCAATACTGGAACGGTGGTAAGTCTGTAGATCGATATTGGACTAATTGGACCTTGAAGATTTTGATGCGCACAGCAAGATCCGGATAGTTCCTTTGGAACTATCAGATCCTGCGTTTTTAAGCCCCAAAACGTACTATTTTCGAGATAATGCAAGGCATAGGATTGTCACCCACACAACCTTACGTTAATTGTTGTACTGTCATTGAATACATGTCTCTTTTTGTTGACTTGAGGCCTCTATGATCGAGAGAGGAGGAGTTTATATTATTTATCGATGGTGTTTTTGATCGGCAAGCCATATCATTGTTAATTCTTCACCAAATCTGAAGATGGAGCCACCAATCTCGAGGCTTCCTTCTTCAGGCGGGCAAAATAGTCCAATCACCCCGAAAATTCAGGCAAACAAGTTATAAAAGAAAACAAACTTTATTTGCAATAATAATAATAACTAAAAAATTACACACTTTTCCCTGGGTTATGCCTAGGATTATATAAAAGATTACTAAATTCCTTGCAAAAGGCAAAACAAAATCATCGAAATAGGACAATTTTTAGCAAAAATATAGCTTATTGAAATCTGTAAACATGTTGGTTCCAAATATTAATGAAGATTTAAATTGATTTTTGTTTCCTTTGTCGATTATATTTATCGATAAAGTAACAATTGATTTCTTTATCTTTTGATACGTTGCATTATTTTCTTTTCTTATTAATTTGGCATTTGATAACAACATGCTGCGCGAATTTTTCGCACGGGCCTACTAGTTGTTTAATAAAAAGTAATCCTATACAGTTTAGTTTTTTATCTCCCACTGTTAAGAAAAATCCATTATATCCAAGTAGTAAGAAAAATATGTTGTTATAAAAATTGTATTGTATTTTCTAATATTATTAAATACAGTTTATTTTTCTAATTAAATGTTATTGTTAGGTTGTAAGCTGGGGGCGGAGAGAGGCTGGTGGTAAGATAAGTGATGCATTAAGAGTTTCCAGGTTACAGATTATAGACTTTCAAGATTGTTTAAAAAAATTACGTAATACAAACACCTATGTCACTTATGATAAGTTTTGTGCTAAACCATCCATGGGTAAGCTCCTTTGCTTTTCTTACAATTAAAAGTTAATTGTACATTAAGAATTGTCCTTGTAACACTTCTATTATTATTATGTTTTTTTTTAAAGATATTGGTCTAAAGAGAGAAGACATTGGTAATGCACTGACGTTTCCCAGGTTTGATAATGGAATTGAACAGCATTTTATTTATGGAGTCGTTAGTTTACTAGAAAGTGGCATAGTTACAATTACGAATGTTACTGAACATATGAAATGGATTGAAGATAAACTAAATGAGATTATTTAATTAAATTTTTTTCTTATTTAGTCATATTGAATATTAAATGTTGTACTTTTAAATTTATTAATTTTATTTGAATGAATAATAAACGTTTTTAATTATAATATAAACTTTTAATTTGAAATTAATTTTATTTTTAATAGAAACGGAATAGCTCAGTGAGTTATGCACTGTGCTGCTAACCTCTAGGTCCCAGGTTTGTACCTGTGGCAGGTAATTATTTATTCTGTTCCATTAGACGCACTAGCGGATTCAGGATTTAATTTGGGGGGGGGGGCTTCAGCCCGAAACCTTTTTTTTTTTCATAAAAATAACGATAATTAATTTAGAAAAACAGAAAGAAACTAACTACCTATATGCAATGGTGTTTAAGTTATTCCTTAAGTACTTTTAAATTTAATTACATGAACAATAATACTTTAAGAGTTATTTTAAAAATTTTTTTCTCCATAAAACATGGTTATATTTTTCCATTTTGGAGGGGCTTCAGCCCGAAAGCCCGATTATGAACATGAACAGTAACATTTATTTTAATAATTTAATTAAATATCTTCCAATATAATTTGTTTGGTTACTTTTAAATAGTTGCAATGATATAGTATTAATATTTAAAATTTTTATTTTTTAATCGTAATATTTAAATATTTCTATATTTTAAAAATATCTTTCTCCTTATTTGTAACAGTTTAGTACATGTATGCTTTTATACATTGTTTTATTTATAGTGTAATAACTTAATATTTGTATTCATTTTTTAAATCTCTTTACTGAAATAAAGTTGTATGATTTCTCAATTGTTTTATATATTAAAATGGGCATTATCTTTTTTATAAATAATTGTGATTTGATTTGATAATAATAGTAATCCAGTTTAAGACAATAAAAATATTTTTTGAGAAATAGTTAGTCGGGGGTGCGGTCAAATAAATACTAAATTAAAATATAGTAATTAATTTAATTTTGCCAATTTTAAATTAATTACTATATTTTAATATTTTAATTTAGTATTTATTTGACCGCACCCCCGACTAACTCCTTCTCATATTATATCAACGGTCAACCATCTCTACATCATTAAAAATATTTTTATTAAAATGGCAACCTTTTTTAATTAAATATTAAATATATATATATATATTGTCAACATCAATTTGAATATTATCGGCTAGAGTTTCAAGGAGACAAAGAATCAGAAATGAGGTCATTAGAGAAAGGAGGGAAGTTAAGAATAATATACTAGAGATAATGGAAGAAAGAGATTAAAGTGGTATGGACATGTGGAAAGGATGAATAGTGAATGACTTCCCAAAACGGCATTTGAGTGGGAGCCCGAGGGTAGGAGAAGGAGAGGAAGATCTCGTGTCAGATGGAGAGATGTGGCTGAGAGTATGGCGGATGGAGCATTGAGGGAGAAGGAAGCAATGGACAGGAAGAAATGGAGAAACCAACCGACGGAGGAAGGAATTTGGCTGAGGGAAACTTTAATTTATGAAGAAAATATATATTTATTTTTAAATTTTTCTTATAGCTTTCAACAGCATATTAACTTTGCAATATCATGTTTGAATTAATCAAATATATTCATAATGGTATGGAGATAACTGACCATAATTGTGATTAATAATAAACATACTCAATATTATAATAGTATTTTATTACACTGCCAAAGTTCCACCCTACATGATAGGTTTTCATCAGGGCATTTCATCTAGTACATCTAGGAGTTTGGCAACAGGATGAGTCTACGCACACTAGATTCCTAATATCATCCCTCATCTTCCCGTACCTCTACTATGGCTGCATGGTGTATGGAGGCCTCTCTGTGGAACTCGGAGACAGACTAAAAAGAATTATGAATAGCTTCGTAAGATTTGTCAATGAAACCTCGAGACATTCCCGTGTTTCCCACTACTATGCTGAGTTAAGGTGGCTCTTTCCCTCCTTTAGAAGACAATACTTCATAGGCACATTCCTTTACCAAATTGTCAATAAACATCGCCCATCCTATGTATACAATCTACTCCAATTTAAATTATCTATCCATTCCATCTCCATAAGATCTCCTCCATCTCACCTTTACACCCCTTTCCACAGATGCTCTTCATTTCAACACTCCTTTATTGTACGTTCCACCACTTTTTTAATTCTAACCTGCTTAATATCCGCCATGCACCATTCTTATGCACATTTAAAATCCTCTTATTCAAATTCCTCTTCACGATCCAATTTGACGCTGGCTACTTATTTATTATATATATATATATATTTTTTTTAATGAAGAAATAGTTAGTTTTTATTTATTTTATTGTATTTACAAAATTATATGTATTAAAAATGTATTTTATTTTTTCCCCATTTACAAGATGTGTTTATTTTTTAAATTCTTAAAATTATTTTTATTTTTGATGAATTTGAAACATTCTGTAACACTTTTAACATAGAAAGACTGTTTAAAGAAAAAATAAGAAATAGTTAGTTTTTATTTATTTTATTGTATTTGCAAGATTCTATGTATTTTATTTTTCACATTCTTTCTATTTTTTTATGAATCGGAAAGATTCCTTATCTCTTTTGACCTAGAATTGTAATGAAAAAAAAGAAGAAATTGTTTGTTTTTTATTTAAAATGTATTTTATTTTTTACACTCCTCACTATATATATATATATATATATATATATATATATATATATATATATATATATATATATATATATATATATATATATATTTTTTGTATTATATATATATATATATATATATATACTCGAAAATTTCATATTGCATATACAGGTAAGTAAAAGGAATATATATATATATATATATATATTTTTTGTATTATATATATATATATATATATATATATATATATATATATATATATATATATATATATATATATATATATATATATATATATAATACAAAAAATATATATATATATATATATATATTCCTTTTACTTACCTGTATATGCAATATGAAATTTTCGAGTCGGAGTTTTCAATGGAAATACATGTTTTGAGGTTTCTGTAGTCCAAATAACCAGCACCCCAAAATGGTCTATGTGTGTGTGTGTTATCAATCTAGCTCAAAAACGAAAAGTTGTATGAAAGTGAAATTGCATATTTAAGGTGGCTTATAAGCTACCTATAAGCTTTCAATGTTACAGCAACATTTTCGTCAAAATGGGTAAAATGGAAATGGTACTTCAGATAATCGATTTAACAGATTTTTACGATCAAAAACGGATGTAAACATAGTCATTAAACTCTTGATTCACCGACCTGTATAATTAACGTTGAGGCAGTCTAGCTCAAAAACCAAAAGTCCCAGGAAACTAATATTACATATTTAAGATAGGTATATGCCTTAGCTATGACAGCAACGTATTCCTTAAAATCGGTTAACCGTAAGTGCCACTTTATATCAACGCTGAAACACATTTTTATAATTTTCTCAAAAACGCCTCTAACGATTTTAATTAAACTTGGTATATCATTGTATAATAAAGTGATCTTTAATATCATTTAGGTCTTATCCCCATTGATGTCACTTTACACGGCTTAAATGCCCAATGTTCATATACTTCTTTCTCAAAAGTACCTTTAATATGGTTTATTTAAAAATGTTAATCATCTCAGATTATTAAAAGTTATGATAAAATGCTAAATATAACTTTTGAAAGAATTTGATTATTGAATAAAGGAGAAAAAAATACAAATGCTTATCCAGGTAGAAAGTGAATCTCCCGGAATAATAGTCAGAAGGTATAGGTATATATCGTATATTTATTATTATTTGTATATATTTGTATTGTTATACTTATATATGTAATTTAATTAAATAAACGTTTTGGACGGTTAGAAAAAAAAATTCATGGTATTTGTTGTGACAACAATTTTTACTTTCACTTACCTATATATGAAATATATAATAAGGGACAGTATTGCGTTCATGAGAATTTTCGATATACTAGGGATGTTACAGCTACTTTTTCGTCAAAATGGACTTACAGAAAGTGGCACTTCATATCATGCACTAAACACATTTTTACAATTTTCTCGAAAACGGTTCTAACGATTTTAATTAAATTCATTAAATCAGTGTAAAATTAAGTAGTTTTAAATAAAATGTAGTTTTTATTCTGATTGATGTTCTCTAATAGGGCTTAAATGGCTAATTTTCAACATTAGCTTCTTCTAAAGTATCTTTAATTTTTTTTATTTGAAATACATATTTATCTGTAATATAAAAGATACTTAAATATGAAAGAATTTAATAATTAACTAAAGGAGAAATAAGAGATCGTAATGGAGAATAGTTTTAATTGAGGAACCAAAGGAATACGAATTCGCCCGAAAAATTAGAACACGCTTCCATAAGCTTAATATAATACAAACTCTGACAATATTATATAAATATACATATGCGGTTTCCATAAATGCGATGTTGGTATTAGTTAATATTTAATTGTATAGATAACAGAGATATAAATATTAAAAGTTATACATATAAGGATAGTTATACAATTAAAAATACCCACTATGGAGTATGAAAAAATAAAGTGTCTATAATTTTTACTTTCACTTCCCCTTTGTCTAAAAATGCTTATTTCTGCTACGAAGGCGGTGGTAAGTTAAAGTTGTGTGATGCGGGCAACGTACCAGATTTTTTGTCATCACAAAGGGCTTGAAACAACCGATATATTTCAAACAATACCACCCACACTCTCAGACCCTCTCTCTCTCTCTGCCCCCTCCTCCCCACTACCTCATCCAGAATTTAATTTTTTTTGGGGGGGGGGGCTTCAGCCCGAAAGTTCTTTTTTTCATAAAAATAACGATAATTACTTTGGAAAAAAAGAAAGAAGCTAAGTGATTCCTAAAGCCCTTTTAAATGTAATTACACGAACAATAATACTTTAAGAGATACTTTTTAAATATTTTTTTCGATAAAACATGGTTATATTTTAGCATTTTTTTGGGGGGGGGGAGGACTTCAGCCCGAAAGCTCCTCCCCCCTACCTCGTGATTTTATAATTCGCCACCCCCCAATAATTTTCATAAATCGGCATCTATGATTTAGTTTTATTTAAAAGAATTGAATATTATATTACAAAAATATGTCCTCATGTCCCACAGTATCCTTTAATAATACCCCACTTATCCCTGTTCAACAAATCTGATATCTTGGACAAATGTCTAACTTGGAATCCTCATACCAGACTGAAACGACAAGAAACCGCTCGACGTTTCCGACTACTCCAACACTTACTAGACAAACGCTCTAAGCTTCCAGTTAATTACAAAAGACTTATATACATGACTACAATAAGACCTATTTGGACTTACGGAGTTGAGCTTTGGGGCTCCACTAAGCCATCGAATTCCTCTCGTATCCAATCCTTACAATCCAAAATCCTTCGGAAAATCCTCAATGCTCCTTACTTTGTCACCAATAAAATAACCCATAATGACCTTAATGTTCCTTATGTTTCCGATTTGGCGCAATCCAGATACCAATCGTTCCATAATAAACTTCAGAACCATCCGAATCCTCTCGTCTCTAACCTTGCTTCCTCTTCTATTCCTGATAACCTTCCGAGGCGTCTGAAAAGAAGATGGCCTCGAGATCTCTTATTGTAAATACATTTTGTTTTTAGAGTGCTACCAGTGGGTAGTTTCTCAACAAGTCATTTCATGTTTTTATTTTCTGTTATCAAATTTACTTAATGTATTTAATTTTTTAATACAGTTGTAAATATCATGAATAAATAAAAAAAAAAAAAAAAAAAAAAGGACACATGTCATCACTAGCGGATCCAGGAATTAATTTTGGGGGAGGGTCTTCAGCCCGAAAGATTTTTTTTTCATATACATATAACGATAATTCATTAGAAAAAAAAAGAAAGAAATTAACTACTTATATGAAATGGTGTTTAAGTGATTCTAGAAGTCCTATTAAATGTAATTACACGAACAAGAATACTTTAAGAGATAGTTTTTAATATTTTTTTCTGTAAAACATGGTTATATTTTACCATTTTGGAGAGAGAGGGGGCTTCAGCCCGAAACCCCCCCGTAGATTCGCCTGTGCATGTCATGGTAGATAGTGATAAAAAAAGAAATTGCTATATATGAACATATCTTTGCGGTATCGCCTTCTTGAAGAACAGCTGTCAGTCATTGCGTCATTCATAGTAAGCCCTCCGAATAGTTCCTCCGTCATTCCTTACTGAATGACGGAGCTGTATATCCTCCAACATTATCTTCGAGTATTCTGGTTCTTCCTCTTCCTTCCTCAATTCCTCAGCTCTAGTAAAGAATTATTTTTGGTTACCGCTGATAGTACACAACAGACGTCAGAGTTCTTAAAATACCCACTTTGTGTTATTAACAGAATGTGGATGAACTTTCGCAAATGCTTCGTTCTAGCAAAAAAGTTTTTAATGTAAAACAGCACTAGCCTATTAAGCCTGTATAATTTTATTTGTTAACTAGCTTTACACGGCCACGCGCTGCTGTAGCTTCGCCTGGCAAAATGAAAAAGAAAGCACATATGAGTAGATTAGTAGCAAAGGACATCTGTCGTTTTTAAAAAGTTGGGAAACAAATTTGTCTGTAAAATGGCTTCAATTTAAACTAATTCTAATGATTTTTTTTTCTCATGATTCAAATTAAACATTCATAATCATCTGAGTGAATACGCCGTCATTCATAATCATCAGAAACAGTCTTTGAAAAAAGTTGAACTTATAAAACTAAAATAAAAAATTAATATAAAGAACGTATAATAGTATTGACCTACATAAGGAGAATCATATAACTTCTTCAAATTATAATTTCTGTAGTAATTGTAAAATGTTCGATTAATCAATAAAAAAAGAAAAAAAAAATGCTTGCCTACCTTCGGTAGTGAGGAAGCAAAAGGAAACGGCCTTTTCTGAAGAAAAAGCAGTAAATCTTTAAAACTCTATAACTCTGCAACGAACCGTCCGATTTCGATGATTTCGATGATTTTTTATTTTGTCAGCAATTCAGAAATCTTTCATATAAATATGGGTATTATCAATCAAAAGTTCTGTACTTTTTTAGTTATCGTCAAATAATATATTGAATTCATATTTTCAGCTTGTTTTCGGGAAAGTATATTATGCACATAAATTAAAAGGGTTTCAAGAGGAAGACTTTAGCCAAGTTTAGTTAAAATCGGTAAAGCCGTTTTGGCTCTACAGTTTATAGCGACACATTTTTTGCGGCTTTAAACAGAAAAACATTTACATTTTTATTTTTTTTACATATATAAAATTATCGTAAGACAGAAGTACTATGTCAGAAACCTTCCCAGGAGTGTACGGAACAACTTCCCAAAGTTTCATGGCGATCGGACGAATGGTTTAGTAATACACTAAGGACAAACAGACGGACAGACAGACATACATTCATTTATATATATATATATATATATATATATATATATATATATATAGATATAGATGTCATGTGAAAAAATCTGGTGCGCGGTACACACAACTTTCACTTACCTCTCTACTTTGAATAGAAATTATTTTCTGGCAATGCTGGGCTATTATAAAATTTTTGCATTTTAAACGGAGCTTAAGCTTA